AAATAGATAAATTGTGATTAATAAATAATGTGTGACGTAAAAGTTTGTTAAGTTGTGATCAATAAATTGATACTTTGTGAGTTAAACATAATTTGTGGTCAATTAATTTGATATTTTATGACCATGAAATAAGTTGCGACTCATAAAATTTGTAATTCTTGACCAATGAATAATATGTGACATGTTAGTTTGATAGATTTGTGATCGTGAAATAATTTGTGATTTAAAAATTTTTTAATAGTGATCAGAAAATTATTTGTGACAATAATTCGATAATTTGTGATCAAATTGTATAAAATTGTGACCTTATATCTAATTTATAATATATATTTTTTTATTAATAATTTCAGAAATAAAAATTTATTTTTAAAATTTTAAACTTTTTATCTTAGTTTTGAAATGAATTATAGCTAAATTTTCGCTTATGAATTTTTCCCTGAGGATAATTGCAATGGCAATTTACACAAGTATGGATAAACCATGGGAGTGAGTTGAAAAATATTTATTTTAGTTCTATTTTGCAAATTTCAAATTTTATCGAATTTTAAAGAAAAGCCCGACAATTAAAGCTATGTAATTTTTGACATGTTTGTAATTCTTGACGAATTACTATATTTAATATATTGTAATAATTGTAACTCGTTAATCTGATTACAATGTTTATAAGTTTTTAAAATTATAATTTACCTCGATTACAATAGGCCCTTGTATAGATTGGAGTAAAATTTAATTTTTAGTAAATTTTGGTAAAAATTATTTAAATGTGTAGTTGAAAGTTGGGAACTATAAAATATGTGGCTGGAAATGATTTTGAGAAAAAATGAATTCTAATAAATAGGGACCAAACAGGGGCATGTATATAATATTCGAAATAGTAATTTTTCGGAAAGACGAGGATGTTTTAATAATGTTATAATGCATATAATTTATTGAAACAGTAACTTACACTATTTGTTAAATTCTATTGTACTATGTTATTTTGTATCGAAAGGAAACATGATGGGTCTATTGATCGCTACAAAGTTAGAATTGTAACTAAAGAGTTTCATCAATCCCCGAGCTTAACTATCATAAAACTTCCATCCCAGTTATTATAACACTACCATTAGGCTCATCCTTAGCCTTACCTTATCTCATGAATAAATTTTTGTAAACTCATGTCAATAATATTTCTTATGGGGCACCCTCACCAATGATGTCTACATATCTCATCTCTAGAGATTTGTTGATCAACAACATAGTTATTATGTGTGTCATCTCAGAAAGATAATGTATGGTCTTAAATAAGTACTTCGTGCTTGATATAATGAACTCAGTTATTTCTTGCTTAAATTAGTCTTAAACAAACACATTATTAGGGATGACAAAAAAATCCGTTCAACTCGATAAAATTTTTGAATTGACATCGTAAAATAATTTGTAACATTAAAAAAATTATGATTTGTGATCGAAAAATAATATGTGACTAACTAAATTGTGAATCCATGACCAAATTGTATAGATATGTGACCTAAATATATATAATTAATAAAATATATAATTAATTAATTAAATCATAAATAAATTTTAGTAAATATCCAATTTTTGAAATTTCAAACATTTATTCTTAATTTTGAAATAGGTAATAGTTATCCTCTTATGAAATTTTTCCTTAAAAATATTGATCATGGTTACATTTTGCAAAATTAAAACTTTTACTGGTTCATAAAGAAAATTTTGACAACTTATCGTTTATGTAATTGTTTTACATGTACGCAATATTTAATGCATTACATTGATTGTAACTTGTTATTCTAGATACATTTTATATAATTTTTTTTAATTGTAATTTACATATAGTCACAATATATATAATTTTTTGAAATAAGTGTGTTAATCATGTTATAGTGTATATAACATTTCAGCCCAGTCACGCGACTTCTTTTTTTTTTTTTGGCATCATTTTCACTAATTTTTAAAGGGTTAAAATGGTAACTTTCCATTATATATATATATAATAAATTTTAGAAAACAAAAAGTAAAAGTTTTTTTTTATTTTAAAAACATTTTTAAATAAGTTTTTATTTTATTTTATTTTTCTAAGTAACTTTTTTATAAAATAAATTTTTTATTTTATTTTAAAAACGTTGTTTTAAGATAACATTTTATTTCATTTTATTTTTCTAAGTAATTTTTTTAAAATAATTTTTAATTTTATTTTAAAAACGTTTTTTTAAATAAGTTTTTATTTTATTTTAAAAACATTTTTGAAATTAGTTTTTATTTTATTTTTAGATCATTTTTCAAAATAATTTTTTATTTTATTTTGATTTCTCTAAGTAATTTTTTTTAAATAAGTTTTTGTTTTACTTTATTAAGTAACAGATTTTAAATAAGTTTTATTTTATTTCATTTTTAAAAAAATAAGTTTTTTTAAATTTATTATGTATATATAATATAAAGTTACCGTTTTACCCCTTTTAAAATTAGTAAAAATGGTGAAAAGAATTTGAGTGACCATGGTGAAATAAAATCAAATTGAGTCGCGATATTGTGACATTGAGCATAAAGTTGGGTGACCACTGGTATATTTAACTTGCATATAAATTATTAAAATTGTAACTCACACAATATGTTAAATCCGGTTGCACTATGTCATTCTCGTACTAAAAGAAAATTTGATGGGTCTATCGATCACTACAGAGCTAGAATTGAAGCAAAATGATTTCATCAATATCTCATGGTCAACTATCATGAAACTTTCATGCTATAAATTAAAACACTGGCATGGGGCTCATCCTTAGACTTCCCTTATTAACATCTCATTGTCATCTTGATGTCAACAGTCCTTTCTTATAATGCACCATCACTTGTGATGTCTACATGTCTCAACCATTGGGATTTGTTGATCAACTTCAACCTTATTATGTTTGTTGTCTCATAAAGGTAATATATGGTCTTAAACAAGCACATCGTTCATGGTATAATGAAATTGACCGTTTCTTGCTTGATTGGGGTTTCTCTCATTCTCGTGTTGATACTTCCTTGTTAGTTTATAACAAACATGAGTTTCAAATACTTATTCTCGTATGTGGATGATATAGTTTCCATAGAGAGTTTCGATGTAGATCAGATCATGGTGCCAATTTTCTATCAATGATCTAGGCCCCTTTATCCTTCTTTTTGGATGTTGAAGTGGTTCATCATCCCCAAGGCTTATTTCTATCTCAACTAGTATCTACTTGATCTCCTTTGTTGGATTAATATGCATTGTACTGACATCGATGTATACTAGTACTTCTCTCTGTCCGAATGATAGTAATTCTATACATGATGCAACCGTATATCGTCAAGTACTTGACCATCTATAGCATCTCACGCTTACAAGACTCGACAATGCCTATTGGTTAAAAGCTTTCTCAAATCATGAGCAAGTACACTGCTCGACATTGGATGTGAACTTAGATGCCAGTCGAGCTATTTTTGTGGTACTCCTCATTGTGGTCTTTTATGCATACAGTTGATTCTGGTTCATCTAACAATGTTGATGACCACACGTCCACTATTGCTTCTATTGATAGATTCACTCACCAAACCTATGTTTGCATATTAGGTTTAGCGATTATGGTTCAAGATATGTGTCATTGATGAGATCCCTAGCTTGTATGAAAATTGATAGAGATATGATGATTGACCAGGGAAGTGGTGCTTTTGTGAAGAAAATTGAAAACGGTTAAAAGGAGGTTTGTACAGATGGTGGTGCTTTCTTTAGCTGTTCCATCTTGTTTGAGTTTAACATGGATTTTTCTCTTATCAAATGAAAGGGGTGGAGAGAGAGCGAGAAGTAATGTTTTATAATTTGTTTTATAATTTGGCCCCATTATTCCATAGTATAATGAGATGAATAGAAATTTTTTGAAAAATATGTGGTTAAAAATGATGGAAAGTTTTTGAGTTTTCGTATAATATTATTTTATTGAAAAATGTGTAATTGATAAGAAGAGTGAGATAAATGAATTTTAATTTAATAAGGAATAATGGGGCCAAATGGGGGCTAATGAGTCAAGAGTCACCCAATTTTTAGTAAAGTTGCATCTAAGTCACTCATTTTTGTTTCGTGCAATCAAGTCACCACACTTCAAATTTACTTGCAAATCTAGCCATTCCACTGTGCATATAACTACATTCTCATTTATACATAAATAATATTTTTTAGTTTGAAAGTAAACAGTACTATGATAAGTAATTGATTAAGAATAAATATATTTATACCAAATTTGACTTATTGAAAATTGTTCCCCCTCTCACAAGGCACGGGGGCCCCGCTTGAATATAAAAATTTCCAAATGTGGTTCCTACCCCATATTGTGAGTAGTAGGTAAAAGATTAGATAAAAGAATTTTGTACATCACTACAAGAATTTTATGTTTTCCCTACAAAATTTATTTGTAGGGAAAGGCTCTTATTTGTGGGGAAATACGTTTGTAGACGAAAAAAGTTTGTAGGCACGTTTGTGGGGTAAACATTGAGGGGATAGGTATAAGACGACAAAATTTTGAAATTTGAGGGCTAAGGTTTTTCTCTACGAACCCTTTGGAGACGAATATAATTCGTCATGTAAGTTTTTCTCCGACAAAGTAATTCGTCCGCTAAAATTACTTCTACAAATGAAGCGATTTTGCTTGTCCCTACATATTATCTTGTAGGCTAAATCATGTTTGTCCCCACAAATAATATTTTGTCTGGAAAATTTATTTGGGGTCAAGATATAAACATCTTTTCCTACAATTAAAAGTTTGTGACAACGTGGAACAAATTATTTTGTGGAATGAACCCTGTTTTTCTACAAATAATTTTTAGTGGGAAAAGATTATTTGTAGGCAATTAAAAAGAATTTGTAAGGAGAAATTAAACTATTTCTATATTTTTTATTTATATTATACTTTTTTTTAACCTCATTCAAAATAATATAAAGATACAAAAATCATAATAAATCAATTAAAACGTAATGTCAATCAGCATTGAATCCAAAATATTTCATCAAAACATGAATAAATGACATTCACCAAGTATGATTACATCTAAAGTTAAAATAAGCAGAACAAACATGCTATATATCTATTGTTATGCAAATAAAAAACATGACTCTTCATTCTCGTGAATTAGACATGCACTGATTCTCACCAAAGTTATTCTCTTCATTCTCAATAGCATTATCTTTCTCATTACCATTATTCTCTATTGACAATGATATAAATGGTGGTACAATGAAGCTAGGAACTTTATCACATAGTTGATGCATAGAATAATGCCAAGATTGTAATGTAGAATTGAATTGTTGCTCAACAACCTTTAGCTTGTTTTGCATATTTTGGGCCATATTTACTCGAGCTACATTGGCTACCTTTCGAGTAGCACGTTCTGCTTCCAACTCTTCCAAATTGTGTACATTGGAAGAAGATATCCCAATGTCTCGAAGGCGACCATCTCCTAACCCAAGAATTCGATGCCCGAGCTTCGTACCTAGAACAGACATCATGATATTAATTCCGACATCGGGATCATCTATCGATATCTCCTCCAAAGGGGTATCTTCAGGAAGTTGCTATTCCTTTGCCCATTCTATAAGATATTCATACTTTTTGACAAGTATCTCATCCTACAAACATAACCAACAAGATATATAAAACAGTCTGTAAAATCAAAGTTTGCAAGAGATAACACAACTGTACACAAGAGATATAACACAAGCTAAGAAATATAATCATCTCTCAAACACATTTTGACCATGCAATCAAAAGGACGTGAACCAGTACGATGATTGTACTTCTTTTTCCAATGCCTCATTATTTTCTTCAACTCTATGAACATTTTCACTTTCTATTGTGCCTATTACATGAGTTTTCCAATTTTTCTTTTTAAATACTTGCTCTTTAGAAAATAGTTGAAACAAAATTAATTGATAAAGAGATAAAATAATGAACATATATAAGGAATTCATATTCATACGAGTAGTTCTTTATAATTGTGACAAGTGCCTACAACGGCTTATCTGGGAATGCCCCAATGTTTCCAACAATAAGCCCAAACATATTAAAGTTTGATGTGTGAGAGATGTTTTTCGAAATATTTCTTGAGCTAGGTTTGAAGTTGCTATGTTTAACAGTTTCAATGCACATGTATTTTAACTCATTTCTAGCTTGGGAGTACATTTCCATACTTGTTAATTTCAAATTCAAATTGGCCTTACGAGTAAAAGAATCCTGATTTTGAGATGAATTGAACCACATAGCTAAGTTTGATTTTGCTCGTGTTAAATGGTTTTGGACAAAAGTACTATTATTATCTGCTGTCTACGCACAGAATACTAAGTCCACCATATTGAAGACAAACCTTAGCATTCTATACTCAAGCCAAACAGTCCATGTTATGATTTAAATGTAACAAGACAGCAAAAATTATAGTACACAGCAAGAAAGGAATTGGAAGGATTAATCATAGAAATAGACCAGAACAAATATTTAAGAAGTTCTACCATCATTTTCAGGTTCTAAAAATGTCAAGAAAGCAAATTGATGAGTGAAAAATATGTATATATCTGGTTCATGGGGTCAATAAAATGCTATGTTCATACGCTAAGAACTTGGAAAATCATGGTCACTCTTAGAACAAACTAATCAAGGACCCTTCTCAGTGAGTAAGCAATTGCAGTCTAATTATCATGAAGGGGTGGCCTCAGGCATATATCATAAGATCTTATCAGTACTATCAGTTTCTTTTATTAGAATTATAAGTGAATGGTCTAGGTATACCATCTGATGGTACCTAGAATCTATCAGAACACATATGCATCTAATGCACCAATGTCAAGAGCTCTTTCCTTCAAAATAATAGCATTCATGGCATCACCAATCAAAGAGCGTTCAGACAATACATTATGTAAACAGATTTAGCAGCTTTAAGCATTATAAAGTGTCAATATCTAGGCAAACACAATACAATCCAAAACAATTAGATGTGCAACATAAGAGAAAAATAAGATTTGCAAGGTGGTCGTCAAATTTCTTTTTAATTAAATTCTATAAAAAAGTACTTGGCCAGGATATGGGTGGGAGCATATTTGAGATAGGCTTTTGATGTACTTAATCCTTAATCAAGATTGATTAGGCCATTAAGCATGTGCAAGAAAGACAACTTCAATGGACCAGAATCCAAATGGCATAGCCACAACAAATTATGTCCTTGAACTGAGAAAAGTGTTCAAGCCAAATGAATGAAGGTGAACTGATATTGTTATCACGGCTGGATAAAAATCTTCCCAAAATGTTGACAGCTAGCACTCTTAAACCACCATTCTCTTCAATGGTCATGATTGTTGAAACACATTCATAGAGAATTGCATTCCCTGCATTTTAGTTAAAGTGGAATAGATATAAATCGCACAAACTTATCTACTTAGGGACAAAACTACCTTTCGACAAAAAAAATTAAGATTCACAATTTTCACTCTTATTAAAAATGACAGCAAACATGGTTTTGGAATTTTTTATCTCGGGATATATTATAAATTTGATGAGAAATTGATGTTCACCACATGCTTACTCGTAATAACATTGGTATAGAAATAAACCACTGATTCTATCAAAAACGACAACCTTTTGTTGCATCTCTTACAACACCAAAAACGGAGGTGCAGGAAGGATGTCATAAATACCCAACAGACGGTAAAAGGTTCAAGAATTATATCAATAAAAAATAGGAGAAACATGGCATTAGAATTCCAAATATGAATGTTCTGCATATATTCAAATTAGTCTGGAAATTCCCTAGTGGGAAATGCTAGAATTGCCAACAACGAAGGATTAGCTTAAAAATGAAAGTCTTTTTGAACCTGATTCCAAAACTGATATTTTTGAAGATGACAAGAAAAATTACAAGTAGTAGTAAAAATCTATAAATATATAATCTTGGAATGGGCATACCTGGAAGACAATATCAAAGAAATTGATTTGTAGATAAAGCCAAAATTTATAGAAATCGATCTATAGCAGAAGCCGAAATTCTCAAAAATCGAACTGCAAGTGAAACCGAAATTCACATCAATTGAAGAGTTTCAATTAGGTTTGGGCCAATTAAGCATATACAACTAAGGGAGGGAATGAATAATTTTAGGGATAAAATTTTTGGAGGCAAAGAAAGTGTGGAAGACGGGCAAAACCTTGGAGGCAAAGGAGAGTGGTAACTTACGTGGTTTTGAGGGATTTTTAATTTTGGAACAGAAAAAAGGTTTTTCTCTTTTTATTTTTACTTATCTTTTTAACTTCAAATATATATTTTGTGGGGAATAAAATTAAATATTGTAATTGAAATTTGTTTCTTTGATTATTAGCCTACAAATATGTTAGACTTTTTTGTCGGCAAAAGATAGATTTTTTCCGTCAAATTTTTTGTCGGGAAAAAATAACATTTTTGTGGGCACAAGTCCTTCTAATATTGAAAAACTTGAAGCACATCATAGCCTACAAAACATCGATTTTGTGGGGAAAAGTGAACTTCGGCTACAAATTTCAATTTGTCAATGGAAATTTTGTAGGTAAAGGATATATTTCTTGTAGTGATTTAGCATTGTCCTTAATTATTATTTGTTACACATCCAACTAAGGCATCCATATATTGATAAAATTTGTTGTTGGCTCTAAATACTTAGACCAAAGGGTTGAGGGAAAATACTTTTATGTCTTGATTATTTGATCAAAGTCATTTTAATTAATCAACATCGTCCCGATTTCCAATCTTTTATAATTTAGCGATCAATACGTTTTTATTATTAAATATACTTTAACATGGTGATCTCATGAAAAAATTAAGAGCATTATTGACTAAAGTGAAATAATATGGAGATAAAAATATTAGCGAAATGTTTCTCCATTATTGTAGATGTGTGCAATTCCTTCACGTCAAAACATCATTAAATCTCGTTAATACTTAGTCTTTGTTTGTTCCCTATTTCTTATAATTCACTATCTCGTTAATACTTAGTCTTTGTTTGGTCCCTATTTCTTATAATTCAATTTTCTACGTATTAATTTTCAACTAAACATTTTATGGATCTACACTTTTTATCAATTTTTTAACTACATATTTCATCAACTTTTATCAAAATATAATAAAAATTTTAATTTTATCCAAATCAAACAAATGCTCACAAATTGATCGATGGTTGACAACATACCCAACAATGACACAACTCAAACAAATACGAAACAGTTTTTTTTTTTGTTTTTTTTGGCTCTATACCAATTAGTTTTGTCCAATGAAATTTGTAAATTTTACAAATTGGCTGGGTATAAAATTGGGCGAGACTTTCAAAAGAAATTCGGCGTGTGGTGGCGTTGGAGGTAATTTCGCTAAAGGTAATAATCTAATTGACAATTGAGCATTAATTGCTTCCAATTTTACCGTTAGAGAGAGAACATATAAGGTAACATGAAAAATATTTCCTTATTGTGATCAACAATTGTTTCCATAAAGTAAAGAGTTTCAGGGTTTGCATGAGTCTCTGTTCCAATTGGAATTTGATTACCCCAGACATCTATATAAGAGGGAACCTTCCCCCAGTCAGTTCACAGAATTTTTTTTACTGCAAACAGGATAGGGAAAGAGAGAGATTCTTTAATAGATATAGAAATTGAGTCATGTCTACGATGAAGAAGAGGAGGGTTTCCTTTAATCTGTTCCATAATGAAGATCTTCATCTTCCTCTCCCTATTCCTAACATGCTTCCAATGAAGAAGAGGAAGAAGGCAGTTTCACTCTGCCTCTTTGATGATCTTCTTCTTCATGATCAACAACCACCGCCATTAGTGCCGCCTCAAACCCAGTACAGAAACCTTTACTCAAGCCTAAATCAAAATACTGAACCAGTTCTTGCCATTGCTCCTTATTTAGGCCAAGCAGTGCCCCAGTCTGCAAGAACTGTTCAGAAAAATAGAAAGCGGAAAGGCGACGGTATTCGTAACCAAGTACAAAATGAGCCGGAACCTCGTCCGGAACCACTTCTTCCTGAAATCTTGCGAGAAATAGGATTCAATGGAGGGACCGTGCCAATTTTCTTGTACCAAAAGAGGCTCACAAGTTCTGATACTAAGGCTGATCAGAATCGGATATTTCTTTCTCATAACAGAGAAAATTTGATGGAATTCTTGACAGAAGTGGAGCGACAGTTAGTAGAAGTTAACCAAGGCAGTGTCAAGATTCTTACAATTGACCCGAAGGGTAAATACTATATGTTGCACATGAAGAGGTGGGGTACCTTGAAAATGGTTGTGCTTAAAAAACAATGGAGTAAACTGGTGGAAGCAAACAAATTGGGGGAAGGTGATTGGATTCAGCTGTGGGGATATCGCCAAAATTCCCAATTCCATTTGGCTTTCAATATCAAGAAAGCGGCCACCCATCATGATGCTGCATGCAGTAGCAGCGGCTATGGCCCAAGTACCGTCTCCGAGGAGTAGAATTTCTATGCATGAGAACCAGACATGATGTCTGTGTCTGAAATTTCACTGTCTTGGGCATGATCTTGTGCAGATTAATGTAGGAAAATTTTGAATTAGATGTGTTTAGATTTGTTTTTTGGAAGTACAGATAATAGTCATGTATTCAAATTTTATTTCGGAGTTACAAAGTTTTTGTTCATGAAATAGTTACTCTTGTTTTTACTGTTGTCGAAGTTTTTAACATTGTTTTGTTTTGAAATAACTTTGAATTGTACTATAACTAATAGAGATGATTCAAATACAGTAGAATTTCAAGTTGTTAGAATATTATAAAGAGTTCAAATCTTCTTCAGTTTGTGTTGATGAGAAATCGGAAGCTTTATATGCTAAGCCATTTTATTTATCAAAATGACAGACTATTATTTCATGAAAAAATTACCCAATACGGAAGGAATTTGTATGGAAGACTTCTTTTGCTACAAGCGACAGGTTTCTTGCGGGGATCCTTTTTTTTATGCAACTTTTTGTGTACAAAAATTGTAACTACTGATGCCAATGCAGAAGAAAATACAGTCCTCAAGAAAGCAGTTAATAGCTGCAGGCTGTTATCTATAAATACTGGTAAATCTCACGTAAAACTGAGCCAAATACATGTACATCAACAGAGGCAATTGTGTATCAAAATACTATATAATATATGTATATACCAAAAAAAAAAAAAAAAGAAAAAGAAAAATGAGGCAAACTGTTATTATGTGACACATCAGGTTTTCTAATAGGATACCATGATGTGATGTCATCTATAAGTATACACTCCATACGAATTGTTCGTTGCAGTAAAATCTGGCTCTGCTAGCCTATGAAGCAGCAGAATAGCTAATTTTGTGCTAGGTAATAATTTAATATTATGTTGACGATTGTTGCGCAAGAGACCAAAGTGTACTGGCAGATTTTGACGCATAAATGGTGGCAACGAGGCTAGGTGAGTTCCCACCCGCTTTCGCCAAGCCCTTGGCCCTCGTGCATTCTGTCTTCTGCCTCTCGCAAAGGTTTCTCAATCTTCTTCCTGCAATGCCGCAGCGATGATACTTGGATTAAGAAGGCTGCCCATGCCCTCCTCTGCTGAGAGTAAAACCTGAAGCACTTGTGTAAACAACTGAGTCGTGCTTATTTTCTTCAAAAACTACTGAAATATTACATTCGAGGAGCCTAATTATAATATTCACATATTACCTCAAACAGCAGATCAATATATCTTGTATAGGGTTGTCTTTTCAGATAGGTGTGATGCAACCCTGTAAATTGTAATTCTCCTGCTCCATCAAAGTAGGGGTGCATGGACATTACTCACATTGAGGGTGAATGATGATAAGGTTTTCGTTTCGTTTCTATTTGTGCATTTCCTTTTTTTTTTTTGTTTTGTTGGTTATTGCTTCCGGGTTACAGCTTAGTCATTTTGCCAAAATAAAAATAAAAATAGAAGACACTATAATAAAGTTGCTTTCAGAACTTGCCTAAAAGTGTGTTGAATATGCTTGCTGTGAAGACACCTAAATTTGGATGCAACACATTTCAGGTCACCAACCATCAGAGAGAAGGCCTTCATGTCTTTTATTAGGTTCAACTGTTCCGGTTGAGATGGGAAGGCTGGAGGAAGAGTTGGGATCCAGAGCCCATAGAAGAAGTTTTCCACAAAAGTCCCTGGCCTTGAGATAATCAGAGTGGAAGATAACAGTTCTCCTACCATTAGTCATCATGGTCAATACAAAGATCGTCTCATCAACTGGATCTCCCTCGCGAACAATGAAGCTCTTCTTTGTGTAAAGAGTCGGCTTCAAATGATCACAAATTGCATCAGCATCTGCTCGTCCATGTTCTCAAACATTGGCACTTGTAATAAATAGTTGATATGATTAGAGAAGAAAAATGAGCTAAAAGCATGCATGTTATTCCATGCAATACCGTGCACTACTATTTACCAAACTTGAATAAAGAGTACTCTAGAGTAGTATTGAAGTGCACTTACTCTTGTATGTAAAGTTAAGCAAAGATGGCAGTTGATATCCCTTCTTAAGTCTTTAGGCAGGTTATTAATCATAGATTCTTCCTCAACACCTCTGGTTTCTTGCCATTCGTATTGCTCGTATCATCTAATCCCTTTCACAAATCATCAGGAAGCTTATAGTGGGACATCGATTGCTTTGCATTTCACCTTTTCACTCTCATCTCTTCTACTCCAACAGTGATAGACTGCAAATATTTCTGTAACAGAAAACAAAAGCAATCTTAGCCTTTTCCTATCAAAATTCTTCGGTAGGAAAACATTGTAATTAGCCTCCTCCTCCATTAAAGTAGCGGTGAATGGACAACTATCACATTGAGGATGAATCATGATAAGTTTTTCCTTTTGTTTCTGTTTGTGCATTACTGTTTTTCGTTTTGTTCATTATTGCTCGAGGGTTACGGATTATGGCTTTGTCCCTATCATTCCGTTGGGAGAGTTCAGAGGGATAATACCAGGGAAAAAAAAAGGAAGACATCATAATAAAATTGATTTCAGAACTGTATATGCTTGCTGTGAAGACACCTAAATTGGGAGGCCAATCATTTCAGGTCACCGGCCATCATTGAGAAGGCCTCGATGTCTTTTATAGCTTCAACTGCTCTGGTTGAGATGGGAAGGCTGGAGGAAGAGTTGGGATCCAGAGCCCATAAAAGAAGTTCTTGTCAACAAAAGTCCCTGCCTTGAGATAATCAGAGTTAAAGAAAACA